GTAATGTGATTTTTACCTTTCGGCAGAAAATTTTTCTTGAATTTTGTAAGAATTTTTGCAATAAGTATTTTGTAAATGTTTTTGTATTATTGCAATATTAAACAAACTTGGGTTTATAGTTATGAGAAATGTGTGTAATTTTGAATTCATACAGAGAAATCTCTATTACTTTTGTATTTAACAAGTTAAATACTAAAAGAGAAAATAAAATAAAAATTGAAATAAAAACACAAAACACTTACATAATATTTTTAACATGGGGGAAAAATATTTGCAGTCGATTTTCTTTTTTTTTTAATAATTCAGGAATATAAAAAAGTTGACGATTATAATATCGCACAATTTCCAAATCCCTCCTTCCATATCAAAAATTATGATGCCATGGCAGGAAATTCTGATTTTAATGAGGTAAAATTATTCTTATATCTAAAATGTTTTTTTTTATTGCATGGGATGAAACTGTTATACATTTTTTTTATTTTATATCTTTTATAAGGTAAAGGTGAGACAATAAAATTATGAATTACACATAAGATAAAATGTGACGATTTTTGCATGTAGGGAAAAAAGTGGATATTTTATTTTTATAACAACAATTTTAAATGATCTGTCCATAATTTAGAAAACAACGAATTGTTCTTATAAAACTTAATGCTGCATATTGCGCACAATTATGGGCGAAAATTCGAGTTGATTTAATAATGGACCTTGGTGTTTACTTCGATAGCAAGTTATCATTTATAAACCACTATAATCAGATCATATGCAGATCAAGCTCGATGTTAGGTTTCATTAAACGCTGGTCAAAGGAGTTTAATGATCCTTATGTCTTAAAATCACTCTACACATGCCTTGTCCGTCCTCATCTTGAATATGCTTCACAAGTATGGTAATCCTATTATGATATACATATTAATAGGATTGAGTCTATTCAAAAAAATTTTTTGAGGTTCGCACTGCGCCTTCTTCCTTGGGAGGATCGCATCATTCTTCCACCTTACGAACACAGACTCAAATTAATTGACCTACCCACACTGGGTAAAAGACGTGACGTCGCGGATTTGTTATTCATTTTTCAGCTTATGAAAACTGACTTAATCTCCCCCGGCATTTTAAATAAAATTGTGTTTAATTCCAACCTTAGGTCTCGTTCCCCGGAGCTTTTCATGGTTCCTTTTCATAGGACTAATTATGGGAAACATGAACCTGTCAGCAGAATGCTGCGTTTATGCAACAAACACAGACTTGACTTTTCACTGAAGAAAGACACGATGAAAAAGCTTTTATTTTCTTATACATAGTTAAGTATAACCCTTTGCTTTATTTTAACAAATTCTTGTTTTAGCTTTTCATTGTCTATATTCATATTTAATGGAATATTATTACTAATAAGTTTTATTTTGTATAATTTTTTAAATTTAATTTTTAAGTCAAAAATTTGTTCTGTCTAAAAAAAATATGTATCTGCATACTCATTCTTTAATTTTTAGTTATGTAAAATGTTTGAGCTAAACATAAATATGTAAATAAAAATGAAAATTAATAAACATATTGTATGTGCATTTGTATATTACAAAATTCACGTGAAATTATTGTACTAAATTTTAAAAGTACTCAAACAGGTTTCTTTCCGCTGTTCCTAAAAATTTGCAAAATATTGAAGGCCCAAAGAGCATTTTTTTTTAACAAAATTTTTCAAAGAGCTGATAAGTAAAAATTCAATTTTTCACTGTTTCGAAACGAACTAGATTGTCTTAAGTATAAACCTCAGTGCTTATCCTAGAATTATACTTTCGGGTTTTAGTACTGACTGTGGTCTTGGTACAAATACTTGGACCAGGTGGCGTTCCTGAGATAATTTTAAGAAATTGTTCCGCATCAGTGGCAGGCCCCCTGGCTTTATCTTCTTCGAAAGTTTTTCCGTTAGGGGGGAAGCTTTTATGACGCCAATACATAAAAGGGAGTCAAGGGTTGAGCTAAGAAACTATTGTTCAATAGCTAAATTGCCGGCTAATCCCAAAATTTTCGAATTCGTGTTATATAATTCCGTTTTCGACAATTGTACGGAATTTATTGCCAAAAATCAATACATTAAAAATTTAGTTGAGGAAATTTCGATTTTTATTAAGAACGAGGAAGATGAGTATCAGACTGACATTATTTATATTGATTTCAGTAAGATTTTGGATGTTCTTCCTCATAAAATAATTATTTTGAAGTTAAGACTACTGGGTTTTCCTGACAATTTTATAAATTGGATAAAATCATACTTAGTGGGGAGATCCCTATACATTCAAATTTCTTAATTCTTGCCTATTCAAAAAAAATTTTAAGATTCGTACTAAGTCATTTTACCTGGGAATGTTGTCCCCTCATCAGCGTATATTGCAGCTCATTAACATGCCAGCCTGAGCAAAAGGTACGAAAAATCGGGGATGTTACGTTTAACTTCCGAATTTTTAAATCGACGTTCAAATCGTCCGACTCTCTGTGCAAAGTTATCAACACTTATGTTATTAACACTTATGTGAGATCTTGGGATCTTGCTCGCCGAATCATTTTGTAATATCCTTTCATAAGACTAATAAGATAAGATTATGGTATACATGAGTCGGTAGACAGAATGTTGGATCTTTGGAATAAATACAAAAACAATCTAGATTTTGCAATTAAACTTGACAACTGTTTTACGTTTTTTTTTTACGTTTTTTTCGTTTTTACAAGAAAATGCACAATAGATCTTTTAATTTTTTTATATCGTTCCCTCAAAGAATTTATTTTAAATTGATACTGAGAGTGTCCTGTTGTTTGGGCACATGTATGTCGCCTGGTGGCCAAATTATAGCGTTCGAAGCAGAATTCGAGCTATAATGTTCAGTATATTGCAGCCCGAACTCGATTTCGAATCATTAATTTGTATTCCATCTACTATGGCTATATTAACTGAATTTATATACTATATTCAATATTGACCATATTATAGATATTTGTTTTTCCCAGTTATTTAAAATTCCAAAATATTGATGACAAGTAATTACCATGAACTGATAATGAAACCGATAATTTTATACATTACACCGCGACGTATTCAAATTATTTTCTATTATTTAAAAATCGAAAATAGGTTTCAATAAACCAGAACTTGTTTTTTTTATGTTGTCCTTATTAAAGTTATTACATTTAACACTAATTTTTAACCACCGCTCTCTGTAAACTTAAATAATATTTATCGCCCTCTTTTATGCTCATTTCCTTATGAGAAATTCTTTGATTTTTTTTTTTTAAATTCACATAATATTTTCTATGTACATACATACATATATAGTTATGCATGTATGTACATATATATTATAAAAAATATTCAAATGTAATTGAAAATCAAACAAAAACAAGGTGAGACCAGCTGAAATTTTTCATTCGGAAGCAAGAAAAGTATAAAAAAAATATTTTATATAAATAAAAAAATACATAATATTTATTTTTTGTATTTTAAATATGATTTGTTTGTTTTAATTTAACAAAAGCACTTTGATTTTTCCTCGTATACAATTTTATTAAGTCGGGCTATATAGGCATAGGACACTTTTTTTGTATAAAATTGTTTAATAAATTTCTTAAAAAATGAATACTTGCGATAGAGCCACCAAAGAATATTGTGGAAAAGTAAGGTGAGTAACACTTATTGTTGGACACACTATAATCACATGCATATATAAATATACTTGTATTTTAATATTATGTATGATTACTCACATTTTGTACGATTTAAGGTAATATCACGCCTGCATAATACGTACATACATACACACGTAGACACATAAATGTCACAAAATATCTTTATAAAAATTTGATTGAAAGGTAAATATTCCACTTTAATAACTGTTTTGCACTTAAACAATATGAAAATTTCCGTGTAAATTTTTTATATTTTTCAATAATATTAAAGTACCTTAATGTTTACAAAAAGAAATATTTTTATTTTTTTGTTTTCAATATTCCACACATTTTGACAATATGGATAAATTTTTCTTTTAATTATTTCTGTCACTTTGTATAGAAGATTTTTTTTTTTATTTGCTTATTCCTATGTAAAGTCCATTATTAAAGTTATAACAAAAATTTTATTTCATGTATCAAGATTGTGTCAAATTTTTCTTTATGTATACTAAACTAATGTAAGTAAGGGCGCTCGACAAAAGGTTGGAATGTTTAAACATTGCATTTTGGTAGCATTTGTTAAGCAATCTGTTAATTTCTTATGGAAACAATATTATAAATAATAATGTTTCTTTAAAAAAAGGAAAAATCAAGTTAATGTTGTTTAGCTCAAATATTGAAATGCGTTAAATAATTTATAAATTTGAATTGTTTCAACCACATTAATGTCGTGTAATACGTAGTATTGTCATAATTCTTTCTAATAACAACTAATATTACATGATTTGTCAATTTACGATTTTAACTGTTTATAAGATCAATATTTAAAACTAAAACGTAAACATACAAATTCACGAAGTATTTCAATAAAAGATCAGAGATTCGAATTTACAAACGAAGAGAACCGATTTTTAACGAAGTTGTTATATAAACGCAATACAATAGTATGGACATAATTATCTTGACAATGTTCATAAAATTCATGATGATATTCATCAATTTCAGCATCAAATTCCCAATTGCAAGGACAAATCAACTGTTAAAAAAGTGAAAGATAGTGATTCAATCGAATTATGAGCGCATGAGAATAGGAAATATCAAAACACTTATCATCGTTGAATTTAACCTTCTCAATTATGTGCATTAATTTTTCGAATATGAAAGTTATAAGATTTTAATTCTCATTTAGAATTTGAAATATGATAATGAATAAGTTTCGAAAAATTAAAAAAATTTAAAAAAAATAATTAAATTTTCTAAATCAACTCTGTAAAATCGCTAAATTATCATGAGTTCAAGTAACTATAAAGAAATATTAAAAATTTTTTTGTCACTACATTTACCGGTTATAATTATCTTGAAGCAATTCACAACTATCTCTAAGATTATGTTCACATGTGTCAGCACAAGAAAGGCATACATGTCGAATTGAATGGCCGTTATTTTCACTGATTCCTCTTATTGGTGAAGCTGGGCTCGTTTCTTTGCACGGCCTTTCAACTTTTGTACCCTGAAATAAATTATAATTAAATATTAATGAGTATAAAATAAAATTTGTAAGTATTTTATTTTTAATATTGTGTAAGTAAGGACGGCAGTAAATTTTTGTGATACTATATATAAACTGTACAAAATAAAACAACAATTATAATGAAAATTATCTTAATTTCGAAAACGAAAATCGGATTTAAATTGTACTGTAAGTGTTAATGATAATATACAATGTATAAGAGTATTACATATATGCGAAAAAGTAAAACATGTACGACAAATGAAATTATGTTTGAAGAAAGATTAATTAGACACAAATTTATGCAAAAAAATGAGATGGGATAACTTTATATTTGGGCCTAATTTAAAGAATGCGAATAATCTCACAAGGTTTTTGAAAATGTTGTATATACTAATGCAAGTATAAGGTTTTTTATCTTTGCAAAAGTTTCTTAATTTTTTTATTTGCTAAAAAAAACCTTTATACGTATTGTATCTTTTTTTCGTAATTTAATAAAATTAGAAATATTTTACAGAATAAAAGAACGGGTGTGGGAACCATAGGCCACGGTAGTATTCTTGGATTGCTTCCTGCGGGAACACCCCATGCGATCACGGACTATTGTATTTGTGCGAGTGTCCGGCACTAGGCGGGATCAGACCGGTCACTTGGGGCAGTGTTTCTGCTCAAAGTGTTTACACTTAGAGCAAGTGTTTCTGATATCGTGGATTAGCATTATGAATTTAAATAGGTTCCTCAAGACTAGATAGTCCACCTGTAACCGTACGCTCAATAACGGCCTGGTGATCACGTGGTAATGGTAGTAAAACGGCACATTTGTACCAATTGGGGTGTGAAGGACCTGCTGCCCCGACCACGTAAACCAACCAACCATCCAACAATTGAGGATTTTATTTATAAGCATTTGCTTTCTGAAAATCGAAGTGGGAATGGGTAGCAAATTTAAAAGACTGTACGGTAAAATGAATATCACAAAATTTAAATTCGTATATATACATACATTGTGATATTCCTAGTGGAAGCCATTACAGTATATCCAAAGTATTTTGAGATGATTCGCATTATCTGAGCGTCTTATTCGCGTTCTTACATACTTAAGTACGTACATAAAAAAAAATATTACAAGGAAATTGTTTATCCATATGGTTACATTATTTCTACATGCATTAGTACATGTGAGTTTAAATTTTTAAAAATTTGAGTTACAAATACACACACAATCGGAGGTAACCACTCCTCAGTAACATTTTCCTCGCAGTAATGGCTAACTTGTACGTCCTATTATATATGTATACAGAGTACATATGTATACAGAGTTGTATAATAAAAATATCTTTTTGAAATTTTGAAATTCTGTAGAAAATCATTTTTAAGTACATTTATAAAAAAAATAAAATAAATTCTTATTTACATACATTTTGGGAATATTTATAAAAACAGGTATGTTTCCTTGAGACCAACATATTTATTACATGTTTTTTTTTATTTTTAACAAAAGAATAAAAATACAAAATTTCAAACATCTTACGTAGATTTTGATCTTCTTTCATTTTATTCTTTCATGTTATAAAATATGAACGAACAAAATACACAATAGTCAATCAATATTTTGTAGACATGTTCTAAAAGAATAAAATAAAACAAAGAAAATAATGAAATAAAGTCTGATCCTCAATTGTACGATCAGTAGGCAGTTTTAAAGTTTAAATTATTATAAAATAAATTTTTTATCAAATAAATTGCCACGAAATTTTGTGTAGGTATTCAAGATGAACACGTCACACGTAAACATTTGGTAAAACTAAAAAATATCAAGTCGATCAAACCCATGGTTTAAAATGGCCCCTCATCCTTCAACAACTTAAGTCTACTATCTTTTATTTACGTATATTTACGTATACTTTTGGGCTGTACTTAAACAAGTAATGAAAATGATCTATTGAAATATTTCTCTTATTCCAATATAGTTTTGCATAAATTTAGGAGCACGTAATAATTTTCACATACTACTATTAATATCGTATAAGTTAAATTAGGTAATATTTTTGGAGAAGTTAAAAATAAGTTTTGTTATGTAATATAATAAAAAAATTTTTCGATATCTATTGACTATCTACCATTTGAAGCACATCCGAGGTGCTGTGTAGGTGTAAAATTGCATTTAAAATGAACGTAAAAAATCGGTTTGAGATAACACTTATAATTTATAGTGTCAATTTCACGTCCTGATATTGTTTATTGTCTTTTTATAATAAAAGAAGTTACAAATTTACAAAATATTTTTGATTTGGTCCAAAAATTGCCTATTTTTACAACTTTCTAAAATTAGAGCTTGTCAAAGAGAAGAAATATAAAAAAATTTATTACAGAGAAATAATACCTCCAATGTGAGATCTACTTGTATATACTCTATCTCAAATGTTGAAAAAATTTTGTAAACAGACAGAATTTAGGAAGACCGCTACAATTTCAATAATGGTTTATAAGGAAATAAGTCAGATATGAGAATTTACATAGGATCTAAACTTTTGACACCTATTTTTCTTTATATGTTTATATATGTATATTAAAAAGTTTTGAATTATATAGAGCGCATAGCGGCTCAAGAAAAGAGGACTCTTACACATTTATATCGCATGAATAGAGTTAGAAAAACAAAATTTTCTTTATTCATTTACCGAAATAAAAAATATCCTTGGTGATAATAAACATTAAAAACTTGTATTAATCATGACAATGATAATAGTGAATATATATATGTGTATGTATATTTATATAATGCTTATGATGTTGACTAGAAAATCTTCAGCTTCTGATTTAACAATAGAATATAATATGTATATATAAATACCATGAAGATGCCAAGGGGTATTAAATCATCCGTGCTGAAAAAGCATATTTTCGCCCTCTTGACATATTACAATAAAAAAACAACAAATTATTATACAAATCAAAAGATTCAAAAATAAAAAACCGAAAGTAAAAAAATTCATATTTCAAAAGAATCGACCATATATACACATAGTACACGGAGAGCTCTTGTTGCAACATAAATCTGAAATAAAATAACTCAATCAGAGAAAATAATGTTTAGAATTTCATCCTCAATTGCATGGGGTTCCTTCCAAATTTTATATCAATAGAATATGCTACAGATACCATATTGTTCGTAGGTATTGTGTATATGCATAGCTAACGTGAAACTTTATGAAAGGGGAAAATTATAAAAACAAAACGGTAATAATTTTTATAATGATGCAGGCAATTTTTATTCATAAGTATAACATTTTTACAAATAAAATACCAAAAAAATTGATTTAATTTAATCCTTGAAATCCTGAAAGGTAATGTTTATTATTAATTGTATGCATATATAAATATGTATGTATACATATATGAGGTTAAAAGTTTTATTTGCGTACCTTTTGCCTACCTAAATAAATAAAAAGTGTGTTTATCGCGTGCCATTCCTGTGTTAATAGAAAATAAACGGACTTGAATTGTAAAAATAACAAATAATAATGGCTAAGATACTTAGCATTTCAAATAGGATTAGGTAATCATTACAGCACTTTTAATTGTGAGGTGTACATATCAAATTCCGAAAATTTATTTGCTTTTCGTTTCAATATTTGTAATGTTTTCAATTTAAGATTTCTTTCTTTCTGAAAACAAAAGTGTGCCAGTATTTTAAGTATTTGCTTTTTTTCATTTTATTTTTATTTGTTTTTTTTTTTTTTAAAGCCAAACTACTTTTATTTAGTTTTTAGGATTACAAAAGAAATATTTGCATATTTTGAATAATTGTTTTGAAAATTTTGAAAGGTAGAAATTGAGTGAGCTCTTTTTGCCAGAAACTAATCTATACTCCCATATAAGAACGTGCAAATACATACATACATATTGCATTCGCTGTCACTGCAGTCGGTATGTTCAAGAAACAAGGGTTTAAGAAAGTAATGTTACGAAATGCGGGTATAAGATTATATAAAGTAGCTTTCTTTTTCCTTATATAGTTCCTTCATTTATTACAGATTATGAAAAAAACTTTATTGGAAATACATATTTAGAATAGATTTTAAAACTGTATTCAAAATTGTCTTATTATTATGGGAGTAGGCTTTTAAAATGGTTTAAAGCAAATATACGAATTTTCGTTTTATTCCTTGTTTTGGACTGCGGAAATCAGCCGAGATTCGACACCCCGTTTTTTTAAAAAAATTTTCTTAATAGTGGAAATTAACGGCAAACAATCAAATGTTTGTTGTGTTCAGAGCCCGCAGAAGCAAATTTGAAAATTTCCCATATTGACATAAAGTAAAATAAAAGCTTTCAGTTTATATACTTGACACAATATTGATATAAATAATTTGAACATATACGAAATAATTCGACCTAAAGTATATTCGAATGTAATTTTGCTGAATTGATATATAAAATATTATCTGAAAAAGTTGATATAAAATTGGGCTTCTCCTAAAAGCTTTTCGACTTCGATAGTAAAAATTTCTTGAATAAAAGAACAGCCTGTATGAGAACTTAATTCCCGTTGTTTGCACTATATATAAATGCTTTGGAGAATTCTTGATTACTTCGGTAAATATGTTCAAGAATAATAATAATTGTCTCTTATTTTCAAATCAAAATATGCTTTCTCTAATCGTCCATCAAATTTCGGTGAGGGTTTCTATACACATATGTATGTGTATTTAAAAGAGTCAACCTAAATAATAATTTAATCAATTAAACTTATTTAACATAAGGGTTGTTTCTATGATATTTAAATATATTTTATTTATTTATAGGACGGGAAAGCAAAAATCCCATTACATAACATCCTGCTCTTACTACATTTTATGACTAATTAAACCATTTTATTTTAAGAAATATTTAAAAAAATTCTAATTAATAAATTTATTGTAATTATAAAACGGTTTGAAAAAGAAAACTCACCCAATCCATTTCAGGGTTCTCCGCCACATGAATTCCCATATGATAACTTATATAAAACTAACTTTGACGTATTAAAAAACCATGAGACGAAAAAATGAAACAAAAATATAAAATTTTTGTTTACTAAATTTTGTAAGTTTTATTCACAGATAAAATGAGAGCAGTTGTCTACGCAGAAGATTTTGTTCACAATTATTTTATCCCTGTCTTTTCTTCGTGTATACTTATATAGTTTTGTTTCACTTCACTTTGATTTGAATTCGGTTCAATTGCGGGATGATCATTGGCTTAAAAATATAGGAGGAGCCGATCAGTATCTGAAAAAAACAAAGTTTGATAAACAAAATTATATTTTACAAATATTCTTTAAAGTTTATTTTTAATATTCATAAATAACATGTTAAATAACAATTATTGTAATTTTACAATGAAAATTTTCATATCAATGTTTTTTTAATATTTCAAACATATTTTTAGAGGATTGATCTTTGGATTTAAATAAATCTATATGAAATTGAAAATTGCTTTTCGTTCTGATTGATTATAATATGAATTACTTTATTCTATGCTATAAAAATATAAGCCATTCATAACAAGAAATTCTTCATTTTATATCCTCTTAAATGTAAAATCTGTGCTTCTTAATTTGAATTTGAAAGAACGTTCAAACTTGGCGTAAATGTGACAACATGCAGAGCAATATATAAATACTAATATAAAAGTAAAGAAAAATTTACACACAATTATAAACACTATACAGCTATGTGGTTGATAAGGCAAGCTCTATGTTGGGATTTGTTAAAAGCTGACCAAGGGAATTCAATGACTCTTATATTTTGAAGTTCCTATATTTTTCTCTGTTTCCTACATCTAGAATATGCCTCATCTAGAATGTGCCTCACCAGTTTGATCGCCTCTTTACAATATTAATATTAATAGGATTCAGATTTGTTCTTCTTTGCGATTTGCTCTTCGTCACCTTCCTTGGAAGGATCCTATTTTTCTTACTCCTAATCAGGACAGGCTCAAATTCATTGACTTACCCACTTTTAGTAGAAGACGTGATGTTGTGGACGTGATATTCATTTTTCAGCTTATGAAATTTAATTTGATCTCTGCCGATCTTTTTAATAAGATCGTTATCAATTCTAATGTTAGGTCTCGTTCTCCTGTTTTTTTATAGTTCTGTTTCATAGAACTAATTATGAGAAGCACGAATCTGTCAGTAGAATGTTGAACCTGTGCAACAAGTTCAAGAACATACTTGATTTCACTTTAAGAAAAGACACTATAAAAAAACACTTATTTTCTTATAGATAATTTATCCTGGAGCTGAAGCGAACTATTTTAACTAGCAAAATTCCTGATACAATATTTTCCTAGTTTAGAAATCGAGGGTATCCAGTACTATTGAGCGGTCTTTTAATTTTAAATGCATCACTTTGAATATAAGGCCACTTTATAAAATATTTTTACGATATTTTTAAAAATTATTATACAATGATATCGTTATACAAAGTATTGTGTAATTTTCGTTTTCTTTATTTTTGATATTATTTCGAAATTTTATTATAGTTAAATGACTCTTTCCTTATTATTTCCACCTGCTATTTATAATTAAATACTTGATTATTGTACCTGTATATGTAAGATATAACTATAACTACACATGTATTTTTTAACTCACGAATTTGATTTTTATTTGAAATCTTACAATTTCGTTATATTGCCGCGGCTATATTATTATAAAATAAATCACGTATACAAATAAGAAAATACGCAGTTATTTAAACTAATCATAGGATACCAGAACTAAACAATGAAATCATACAATCTACTATTTTTCCTTATATTTGTTGGTTCAAAAATTATTTGGGCCATTGTCATAAGTGCACACTGTTAAACGCCATTTTTTGATATATTGAGCATTAATTTTCGTTTAAATTATAAACTTAAATGAGCCATCAATTCAAATTCATTATATTGTATAACAACTCTATTACAAAACATTAGTTAAATTGATGAAATATGGTAAGTTTGTTATGACATATGACATTTTTTCGCCTTCTCACTTTACTTTTTTCTTACTTTTATATTTTATAATATATTTTAAACATTTGAAAGCAGGGTAGTCAAGAGCATTTAAGGAACTTCTTGTTAAAATACTCGTAGCACATATCCGTTAGGGAAATCGAATGTAACGAGTCAGTTTAAGAACGAAACTGCAAAAAGAAGTTAAACTTCAAATTTTCAAAATTTTAAATTCATCATTACTCACAATAATCTAAAATATGAGAATATATTCAAAAATCTATCATATCTTTCTCAAAATTCGAAATTCATTTACTTCTCCCGATATATTATTATTTAAAATTAATAATATTGAAATATAAATAAAAAAAAAACACAAAAAATTAATAAAAAAAATAATTAAGGACTTCCAAAAAAATTAATAACATAGTATCAACTAGTTATTATGAAGTACGTGATTTTTTCAGCTACTGTTCGAATTCTGAGGAATTACATTATGATAGACTATATCAAGATCAGCATAATGCGGGTTCAAAAGCAATTACACACTTTTGATTATATGGTATATATATATATTAGAATTCCCTTACATTCTATTCCCCGGAGACTTTCACTTTTTTTTTTGACTTTATTGTAGAACAGTTTTCGCAAATAACAAAATTAGCTTATCTTTGTATTTTATCGCTGTAGTTACTCGTATAGCTATAATTTACTATAATAAGAACATGGAAACAAATCTTTCTATTGGAATAAATAAATTATTAGTTTATTTAAGTTATTGTTTCTTATTAAAATTTGATGATATTTGTGTAAAAGCTGTAGTAAATCTCCCTCACTTTTAGATTCGGCAAACGATAATATGCGAAAAAGTAGACAAAATAGAAGCAAGCAAATTTTGTTTTGAAACATTTTGGATCACTGATGCAAAATCATATCTTCGATAATATTTGCTTGTAAACTTTTAAAAAATTTTGAAATTCATTTAAAACCTGATTTTTTTTGCAACAATAAAAAGTAAAATCAGATTCAACTAACGCCCGCTCAATATTTGAATAAGACTTCCTAGTTTACTCAACCGAATCTGCTAATTTAATACCAGTTAAAATAATATTTGAGGTTTTCCCTTACATTCTTAACATAGACCATATGACGATATGTTCTCCTTGATTTGGCTCTAAAATTTTACTTTACAAAGTCGAGTAAATAATTAATAAAGTATGAGAAATTTAACTATCGGCAGTTACCACGGTGGCTGAGAGAGGGCAATATTAATTACCGAGTTCGATATTTAGCTTTAACGTCATGCTTAGTTTTGGCGTCGTTGATACTTTTCGTGTTTTCCTAAACAAAATCTGAAAAGTTAAAATTTCGTCTTCTACTACCTCCAGTGCAACATAGAGAAAATAATAGGGAGAAATTTAGTGGTAATATTAAAGACTTGACAGCTTCTTCGTTTCATACGATCCACTCCACAAACTGGCTTGGTTATATTGATCCAGTCGGCTAAAGGTACTAAAATGTCTCGGGATGAATTCAATGTCAATTTATTGTTGTGAGAAAGAGTTCAGCTGTGGAAAAAATTCTTAAAGAATTACCAACCTGATAAAATCAATAAAAAATAATGAAACAAAAATTTTCAAAACGAATAGCTCTCCAACCACAATTCCCCGTGACAGACAAAGTAATTGAAACTAGTCTTCAATAAGGCAATTCTTTTATGACATGTGTGAATTAAAAAAAAATCTTGATAAAAAATTATCTATGTAAGCATGTACATTGTTTAATATGCAAGTACTTTACCAAGAAAAGGTTGTACACTTACACACATACTTATTTAACATAAAAATAATAATTATAAAAAGAATACACATGTATTCGTAATTATAAATAAAATTATTGTAGGTATATAGGTATACATATCGGCTTATCTAAGTAGGACATAGATAGGGGACTCATACGCCAAACAACAAGAAAAAAAAACAACAATAAAATTTATATAGCATCCCATACATTTTCTGAACAACATTTCGATTCCGTAAGAAGTTGTTTTATTTTTTATATACGAGCGCCAATCAGGACAAAATCATCCTTCATTAAAAGTAAAAATTTATTACATATTTTGAATTTTATTTTGTTTTATACTTTAATTTTTATATGCATGTCTGTTCTGTCAATCAAATGCACAATTTATTACGAAAACGCTTATCATAAAAAGAGTGACTTTCTTTTGATAGCGCTTTATTTCTGATATTCTCGCATTTATTATGTATTTTTTTTTCTTTTTTTAAATAAACCATAAATTAAAAAAAAAAATCAGGTTTTTGCAAAACTTAGATATTTTTCTTGTTTTTTATGCACATATACACTCCAAATAATAATGTAAATATATATGTATATTATATACTGCACGCATGCATACATATTTACGAGTATAATATGCTTTGATACATGTATGTATGTATTTATGTAAGAACAAGTATAATAAGTGCATATGTACATCCATACAAAATTTTATTTACGTTTATTCCGAGTTATAAAAAAACTCAATTTCTGGGATCAAAATACAAAATAAATGAAAGAAACAAACGTGGAAAAATTGGCGAACTGCCATTAATTCTGCGAAAATAAAAATATAAAAACAAACAAGGAAAAAAAATTGTCTTTAAATTGCAGTCTTCTACAACAGAATTCAACTATTTTAAGATTATGAAATGCTAAAGCATAATCTGATCAAGGGCTTTAATACAGCATTGCCACATTGTAAAATGTATATATACGTATGTATATATTATTCAACCATGAAATTTAATGTTTCAAGAATAGCGTACTTGGAGCCCAGCCCCTCCAATGCAAACATGTCGTTTCGTGTGTGCTGTTTATTATTGCAAACATACATACAAAACATTATTTCAAGGAAAAGATCTAATACGAGTATTAGTTTGAAATGTTTTAATCCACAAATGTCAAAAATGCAACGAAAACGAAATTAAACGGGAATTCAATAATGTCACAGTAGAGCGACTTGGGGGACCATATACTTTTGAATTCAACTTTCTTACTATTTCCTATGTTATTATGCCAGTAAAGATTTGTATTATGCCATTTTCTTCAAAATTTATACAATTAATTTTTTAAAATATTGTGAAAGATGTTTCCATTCTTAAAAAAAACTCATTACTTTAACATATTGTATTTTGACTTGGATTTTGTTCTTTCAATTTTAAACACATGCCAACATAATGTATTTTAATAAATTTATTGTTGTTTGTGTAATTTTCATTAGTAT